CAAATGTTTACAAATATTAAGTGATCAAAATAAAATCACAAAGAGTGAAAATAAACCAGAGGGCTTAAAAAAATCCAATAATCAAGAACAAAAGGCTATTCATTTATGATATATTTTATCAATAGTTCTCTCAAGCTCTCTTGGATGTCTTTCCAGTATTTACAAAGACTTTGTTTAAAAAAACCTTCAGTGAAGATGTGTCTTCTTCTTGCCTATTCTTCTCTATATTGGATTATGATGTTTGCGTAAAAGAACGCATCTTGCTCATTGGTATTTTGTTTAACATAATAGCTTAATTTTGAAAAAAGACATTTTTTATGTTTGTATCGGTCAGCATGCCTTTTTGCTATTTGTTCAATTAGATCTGTCTTTAAGTCTACAAAATTCTTCCTTTTTTCTTTTGGTTAGTCAGGAACACATTTCCTTTTATCATTACTCTCCTTAGGTACGTTAGAGCTTACTCGAGATGGAGGTATTTTTCTTTTATTAGTACTTTCTTTAGCATGATTACCTAAGGATTTTGGAGCATTAGAAAGAGGAGAATAACTTCATAGCAATATTTCCAAAGAAGGGTTAGAATATGATGTTGCCATATTTTTCCTAAACAAAAAAAATTTGAAGTTAAAAAATTAAAAAATGCATTTATATGCAATTTTCATTAAAAAAAAGTTACAAAATAATCACATAGTATGTTAATTGTAGCTCATAATTTAAGGAATTTTTTAGGTGAAATAAAGTCCAAAACACATTTTCACGCACCCTCACACGCCTTGAGAAACCCTTTCTTTTTAAAAAAAATGGAAAAATTAAAGAGGGAGAGAGTTGGCCCCTCTTGGGCTCAACACGTGTCCTTCATGTGCCACCTTGGCAGCATTTTTCTATTGCTGACCCTGCTCCGTTTGACTCCATTCCTCATGAGAAGTCCATTTATGTGCTTCGTGTGACTTAAGGGGGTCAGGGTGGACCCCATGTGCCTATACAGCGTGTTCCAAAAAAAGTTTTTAAAATTTTTTCTTTTAGACATGGACTTCAAGGCAGGTTCCCAGTCGACTAAACCTGAAACGTAGCATTTCACTTAAAGTGTGAAATGCTACAGCCCTGGCTGGCCAAGGTCATCCTTGACCTCCAGTCAGGTTGCTCTAGACCCAGCTGCAGCTCCGACAGGTCCATCGTGACTCACCACTTCTATCCTCCATAACTTTCACCTCTAAACTCCATCTTATGCATTTTAGTTGTCCATAGAATCGTCTTTTCGAGCTCTACAACCCTATGGCTTTATTTCCTTTTAGAAAAACAACATTTTTAAAGACCCAAAAAAAATTTCATACGGCCGACAATGTGACTCTGGTGAAAGAAGATTGTGCCGTGTTTTTGAACCTTATGGCGATTCAGTCAGTGTTGTCGGGTTTCAGGTAAAAATTCAGAGTGGGTTTTTGAATGAAATTTTCAAGTTAAACAAGGAGAACATCAACGGTGTATATAAACGTATGTATATTCAATGACGACATAGCGGAAAGAAAACAATTTATTCATGTGAAAAGAATATGGTAGAGCCAAAAAATATATTTATACATATATATATATATATTTAAAAAAGCCTCAAGATTAGTAGGGCTTTGATGCCAATGTCAGATAAATAAAAGATGGGATCAGAAAATATACCAAGTCGAATCTCGAATCGGGTTGGTTGGATCTTCTGAGCTCACGCGATAAGCTAGACTATAAAAGCCTAAGCTTTGAGTGCACAACGGAGCACCTCTTTGCAAGAAAAATAAGAGAGGAAGAGAGATAGTAGAAAACCTCAACTACTAAAGTGAGTTAAATTGATATGGAGGCCTCTATTTATAGCTTTGGCCAGGAATATTTTGGGAAGCCAAAATATCTACTGAACCTGTCAGTTTGAATTTGAATATTCAAATATCTCTTTGATTGATAAGATTATGGATCTAAATTCAAATCCATAATCAATCATAATTAATTCTAAATATATATATCTCTAATATACATATTTATTCTATACAATATAAATTAATTTAAATTTATATTGTAATCGATTGGATTTGATTCAAGATATTTAACTGAATCAAAAGTATCATAATTTTACTTGGACATTTGATCAGAAAATGCTCTTAATATCCAGTTAAATAGTCCGGCCCATCAAAGGCGGATCTAAACCCAAAAATCCAATATTATGCTTATATATGCTTATGAAATTTTGGGAATTGGAAAATTGGAGTTGTTATTTTCATTATAAGTACTTGTTAATTAATTTGCTAAATATAGTTGTTCTTATGCGTATATTCAATTCACTGGAAAAACCTTGGCAACTTGAAAAACGGGAGTTGTTAATTTTCTTATCCGTATTTGTTAAGTTTTTAATTGTAGTTGTTCTTATGTATCTATTTATTGGTGAAATTTTGTGTGAATACACTCATAAAAACAGCTACAATTAGCAAATTAATAATTACAAATAAAAGGATTAGCAACAACACAAGAGAAAATTACTAGCTCCTATTTTTCAGTTCTTCAAAATTTCACTAGTGAACATGTATAAACGAACAATTACAATGAGCAAATTAACAAAAACAGATAATAAAATAATTAAAAATAATATATAAAGAAATTAAAAACCCCATTTTTCAAACACTACAAAGAAGAAACCTTTTTTCAATTGTTTTATCCACAGCGTTCATTGCGACAATGGAGTAAAAAATGTGGGTGGTAGAATTTTTGTAAATATCGGTTCAACATTTGCACTAGTTCCTTTCTTGGTCAGTGTAACAGTACAAAAGAAATTAAGAACCTCCTTTTTTAAACAGTACCAGCAAAAAAATCGTTTTAAACTACCTTATCCACATTGTTCATTATGGCAAGTTGGCAACAGACTAAAAAATGTGGGTGGCGGTATTTTTGTAAATATTGGGTCAATGTTTACAAAGTTTTGTACATGTTCAACATAACATCGTTATTTACACCAAACATCTTCACAATCGCCAGATATTAATGTAAATAATTAAAAAAAAGGTTAAAATAATATTTTGCGTGCTATTTACACCAGTTATCTTTGAACCCAATATAAATGATAATTATACACATTGTGTATATGAGAGGACCAGTCTAGAGTTATAAGTTTGTTGGGAAACTGAAGAAACGAGACCTGTCTACTTTGTTCCCCATAATCGTTTTAGCCTAATTAAGTAACATGTTTAAAGTTTAAAGGTCCTCATGTCCTATCATCATGCATCTATCTAAACTCCAAACTGAACTCTTCTTCTCCATCAATCCTTGGAAAATTGTTGTCTTCCTCCCTCTTATCATCATGGCAAAGAGCCAAAGGACAATACTAGCGCGGCCTTTTCTTTCCTCTATGATAACATATTAGAGGCATTCAATATGGAAATCATGAAACCCAAACAGCACTTATTCAGTTCGGGGTCCTACAAGCCTTCCAAAGTATTCAAGGGATTTATAGCTCGAAAATGCTTACATGGAGAAGGACATCGATCACAATTACATACACTAACCTATAAATCCTTTGAACATTCTAGAGGGTTTGTTGGACCTCTGACTGAATAAATGCCATTTGGGTTTCATGATCTCGATATTGAACGCCTCCTAGTATACTAATTTTTTTGTTATTGGTTGTTAATTTTATCTTTTGTCACTGCTTAACTTTCTCTCTACACGATATGAATGAGCTTTCATTCCTGATGCAACAAAATTTAACTTCTCCTGTAACGCACTTTTGAACTAAAAGCTCATCTAGGAAAAACACTATGCCAAACAAATGGATACTAACTTACTACCCAAAAAGCCATGTTTTGCATTTTCCTAGGCAAGTTTGGAGTCTCCATCCAAACATGCACTTGAGAATGAATTAAAATAAAGTGCTATCAGAGATCAAGATTGTTCTAGCTTTTATTTTTTTCCCCAATTTTTTGTTTGGTTGCTTTGGTCCAACCTTGAGGGGGTTTAAACAATTTTTCTAAGTATTGGACATATGTGTTGATTGAAATTTAACCCTAATGTCTGCTTGTAGCAAATGCCCGATTCTTTTTGTTAGCATAGCTAAGGTAAAATGACTCCACCCTTGGGTTGGATGCTAGGTTCACTAAGCTTAGACATTTAGATCCCTATAAGGTTAAAATGGAACATGCGGTGTCTCCAACTTCTTGGTTAAAGCGACAAAAGGGAAGAAACTTCATTTTGGATTTGTGAGCTACATTTTGTATGAGTGAGATGATTGAGTAGAGTAGGTCTTGACTGAGAAGGAAACCAAACTAAAGGGTAACTAGAAACTTTAATTTGGTTTCCTTTATGATTAAGACCTGCTCTACTCGATCATAAATCAATTATATGAAATGTTGTTTACAAATTCGAAATAAAGTCTATTATGTATTTGTTTCATTAAATAAGCATCTTTCTTTTTGCTACCTCAAACAAGAGCTAGGAGACATTGCATGTTCCTTTTTGATGCTAGAATGATCAAAATGCCTAATATTACTGAACATATCACTCAATTTAAGAGTCATGACATCTGACTTTAGTGATGCTTGTGGGAAAAAAAAATCAGCCTTTTATAGTAAACAAAAGTCAGGATTTGTCACACTCAAGTCCTATTCTTCCCATAAAGGGAAACAAAAGATGAGTGGCCACCACAATTTTTGGAGGTTAGTTTTTGAAATTTTTTATGAAAGACAGTCTACGAAAACAGAGTAGAGGTTTTAGGAGTTGATTATGTGTGGAGAAGCTGTAAGGCACCCCATAGCATCCATTTATGAGACCGTTACCCTACATCGGCTATTCAAAATTAATATGGACTTTTATTATATTTTAATTACCCTAAAAGAGAAATAACAAAAAAACTAAGCAATAAAAAGCAAAAATTATTTACATAAAGGAAAACATAAAATATAAAATAATTTGTTTACAAAGATGGACTTGACCTAGATAAAAACCTAAGGCCTACGTACCTTTTAGAGAGATCAAAGCTCATGTAGTTTGGAGATAAAAATACGTGTCACTAGGTTGATGTTTTCCAAAAAAAACTGTTTATTAAATTTATTAAGAAAATAATTTTCTTGTTGGTTTACACTTTTTTATGTGACAAAAACAATTCTTTCATCTTTATTTAAAGAAAAAAAAGTTTTCGAATAACTTTTAGATTAAACTTCTTGAGAAGATTGGTTTGAAAAATTATCTATTTCTTTTTGAAACATTTTAAATTAAACTTTTTGAGAAAATTCCAATAACCTACATGAAAAAATAGTCATTTTTGCTCAAAGAGGTTCTAAACACCTCAAATAGCAAAAATGTACATTGGAAAAGAGTTTTTATTGTTATTTTTTTAAAGGGAAGCAGTTCTCTTTTACAAAATCTATTTGCTTCCAAAAGATGAACCAAGAGAAATGACAAGCAATAGAATTCTAGGACATAAGAAAATAACACACAAGACAACTAGAAATTTCTTCCCATGCGATGCGTGAATTAAAATATTTGATCAGATTTTAAATTCTAATAAATTGCATTATTTAAGATAGTTCAAGATTTATTTCCCATAAAAGTATGGATTTTTTTTCGTTATTCATTCAAATGGGATTTAAATTAGAGATGCTAAATTTAGGAAAAATATATGAAAATTTAAAATTATTTATGTATTTCTTCATTTAAGCCCTCAATTGATATACTATTTAATTATGATACTTTTCATTTAATTTAATATATTCAAATCCCAATTAAGATATTATTCAAATTCAAAATTATTTATTAATTTCTTCATTTGAGCTTCTAATTGAAATCCCATTTAATAATGATGCTTCTCAGTTAATTCAATACATTGAAATCCCAATCAAAATATTATTCAGATCTCATTAATTGAATATATTTGGATATCATAATCTAATATTTGACCCATTTTTAAGCAAATTGATGCTTTTCATTTAATTTAATATATTCAAATCCCAATTAAGATATTATTCAAATTCAAAATTATTTATTAATTTCTTCATTTGAGCTTCTAATTGAAATCCCATTTAATAATGATGCTTCTCAGTTAATTCAATACACTGAAATCCCAATCAAAATATTATTCAGATCTCATTAATTGAATATATTTGGATATCATAATCTAATATTCGACCCGTTTTTAAGCAAATTGAATATTACAAATTCTCAAAAATATAATTGATTGATTGATTGATGATTGTATATTCATCATATTTAATAAAATCCATTACAACATACCACATCAAATAATCTTAAGCGATAATAAAGAGCAAGCACTTACCTTGTAAATCCTCACAAACCACAAAATGAGGAAACAAAGAAGCAAGAAAAACATATACACCAAAAGCCTCAAAAGATGAAGAGGTAAATCAAGGTAATGTACTTACAAGAGATGCTAAGAGAAAAATTGATTGAAGCAATTATTCACCAGACAAATAGAAGAATTAGACAAGCAAAGCATCACCATGCCGAAACAAAGCACAAATAAATGAAGCAAAATGAAAGGCAAAGAAAAAAAAATAAATCAAGCAAAAAATGATGTTACGAAATTCTTCGAATGAACAAATTAAAAATCATTAAAGTAAAATAATAGGAGAAAATAAAACAAAACCACCTTCCTTATAAAATTTTGCCATAAAGGAACAATAGTAACATGGTATCCACATTCAATGGTGGCGGGAGAAAATAGCAAGGCGTGTCTAGAGCTTTTTACAAATTGCCTCAATCTTATCTCATTAGCATGACAAGCCTCTAGACATGTGATGGATATCTTGAATAAAAACCTCACTCTTCAAACCCTATATAAAAAGTCTTTTAATGATGAATATGGGATGACAAAATGGAGTATTTCTCTACCTTTCTCACTTGCCTCCTTTTACCCAGAAATTCTTGTGTCTTTCTCCAATCTTACTCCCCTATTTATAGACTTCAGTTAGGATTTTTCAGTTTTTTTAAATTTTTATTTTTTTAATTTCTCCCAATAATGACTCATAATATTATTTTCTATTTAAACACCAAATTATCATCAAATCTTGATTTTAATTTTTAATTTTTTTTATAATTTTTCCAAAAGATATTTCCAATTGGGGAACCAATTGATTTAAATAAGATATTTTTATTTTTATTTTCTAATTTTTCTCTTCAATGCATCCACTTCACATTTCCTAATTTAGAGGTCAATGAACAATTAATCACATCTTTTCTTTTTATTATCAATTATAGTAGGGAAAATGTTCTTACTTGATTTTCTTTTTTTGGGGAGATTTTCAAATTTGGCCTCTAAAAAAGAATCAAAGAGGATTTTTCTATTATACTTTTTTAATTGATTTAATATTTAATAGTAGGCCTGGGGGGTTTAATTACATCCACAAAATCTAACACCCAATAAATTTATATGGTCAATGGCAAAAGAGACAGACAAGTATCTATATGCCTGTCTTTAGCGAATATAGTTTATAGATTCATAAGATTTATTCATGATCTGATTTGATGCTATTATTTTGCCTTAAACAATGTGGTTATGGAATCATGAAATTTTAATCATGATTATAAAGTGATGGGAATCATTATGATTTTGAATTTACTAAATTGATAATTGTAATAAAAAATTGTATTGTCAAAGTTGATAATTAATTTTAATTGGAATGATTGGTGGAAAATTTATTATAAAACATATGCATGAAATTGAGCATATTTTGATTAATTTTAAACACTATGCACATGGATATATCTATTGTTGTCTCATCAATCATTGGATAAACTTCCTTCTTCACAAAGAAATTTTAAGAGCCTGAGAGCATTAAAAAATAAAAAGAAGATTCTCTTTTGAGCAATTAGAAAATCATCTTCTCAAGAAAAGATGAGTATGGCAAATGAGATTAGGTGAAAGATATCAATGTTTATAAGAGAATATATGTGGTGGATGAAGGGTGGTCTATAAGGCCTCAAGAAATAGAGGGAAGGATCAAGATAAATTCTATGTACTTATTTGCAATAGTAAATTTGACAATTGTGTCATGTTAATAATATTAATTGTTGATATTTTTCTTCATCGTTTGACTCTAATATGAAGTTAGCACTAATGTTTATCCATTGCGATAGTCAACATGTACTTACAAAGGATTGTAGTCAAATTTTTAATGAAAAGTTGTGACATATTAGATTAAGACAGAACTTTGTGAAGGATTTGATAATGAATGGAGTATATAAAATTTAAATTAAATCTTATAGATCCTTTGACGAAAGATCTGACAAGATATGATGTTGAAAACATTAAAAGGGATGGAATTGAAGCTTTATGAACTTTGATAATCAATAGTGAAAACCAAACTCGCATTTGACCATCATATTAAACTTTGAGTTCGATGGTGAAAGCATGCTATTAAAGGGATTGCAAGTACGTAGCATTTAATACATCCCAAGGTTAAAAAATACTTGGTAACTATAAAATTAAAAGAGTAAGGTTGGGCTTTAATTCGGTTCTTAATGGATCTGTAAGCATATATTTAGTTAGAGCATTAATTATGATGGTGCTCTTGATATAATCTACTTGCATAAGAGTACAGGAGGGTTACTTCTAGGAGTCTAAGGGCTTGACTCTAAAAGCTCTCATGAAACTCCAACATAGGATCAAGGGATAATCGCCAACATGTGTACCATGCTCTATAATCAAGACATGACCTCCACACCATATCATAACCCAAATGTGGATTAGAGCAAACATGCAACCAGCTGAAACTAACCTGAAGAACATGAAAACGTGGCAAAGCAACACAATTTGAAGTGTACTAGTTTACCAATAGCACAGTAAGTTATAGTCCCCATGTTCAGAATTCAAAATTCAAATTACATAACCAGCAAAAATTAAATTCCATGTATTATTAATTCTAAATAATACTTAAAAAGTAGTGCAATATTTCAACTTTTCAAGATACATCATATTCGGTATATATGTCATGATTTTCGGGATGAGGAAAAATATATCTTGCATTTTGAATATTAAATATTATAAATATTTAAAAAAATCCATCAAAGAAGAAACAAAACATGAATCTATTTTTTTATCAAATAAGAAAATGCCCACATCTATTTTATATCATGCATTTTAAATATTAAATATGTCAAATATTTTAGGTATAAATCTGAAACGTCAAACAATTCATTAAATAAAAAGCAAAAAATTAATCTATTTTTTATCGAATAAGAAAATCCACCTCTATTTTTATTTAAAAATTTTTGTTTGCTATGATTTTCAAGATAAATGAAGTCTGAAAAGTAAAACAAGACCATTAAATAAGAAGAAAAAATTGATCTATCGGTGAAGAAAATACCCACATTTATTTTTTTTGTTTAAAATTTATTGTTTGCCATGATTTTTAGGATTAGGAAAGTTATATCAAACATTTGAAAATACCTTTTACTGCTAGGGTGTTTAATCTATATGAAAAAATATCTCACATAGTCCTTTCTAATATTTCATGTATAAGTTTGAAACACAAACCAATTCCATTAACTAAATAAGAAACAAAAAATTGATCTATTTTTTATAGGTTAAGAAAATTCCCATGTCTATTTTTTATTTAAAATTTATTGAATAAGCAACCCCTAATGCCGTGTTTGGCTCGACGGAGGGAATGTGAGGGGAGGGAAGAGGAGGACAGCTACAGAGGGGAGGGGAGAGATTGTAATGAAGGGAAGGGGAGAAGAGAAATTTTAATGATAACTTGTTTGGTTTGGAAGGGGATGGGAGGGGAGCTAATCAAAATTTGACTATTTTAACCTTATAAAATTAAAATGAAATTTCTCACCTTTTTATTTTTTCAAGATATAAATATGTATAATACAATTTACCAACTTTGACTTGCCATAATACAAATTATTTATGACTACTTATTATTTGAACAATAATTAAAAAATAACAAGAACTATAATATTTTTAATTGAACCAACCTTCTTAAAAAACAAATTAAAAAAATATATTGAACTTGTCTACCAATATATATTGCAAT